GATGCAATAAATACGCGGAGGCCACTTAAAGAATCTTCTGAACCGCTGATTATCCAAGACGCTAGTGATCGACGGTGATCGATGCCTATGCTATATTTTCCTTTGAGAACGCCGATTCTCCCAAAAAGGAGAACGCCGACTCTCCCAAAAAAACGATTTGAAAAGTATGAACCAGTCTAACAACCCACTTCGTCGCGCCGGCGTGCGGCCCGCCCCAATTACAACTGCGCCAACAATGCGGTTTTCGTATGACCACATCCTGGAAAAAAATAAAAACAAACCTTGAAGGGCAGGTTTCTTATGATCATTCTCCATGATTTCAGCTTGGCATCCTTATGATAATCCTTCTTTTTGATAACTTTACGGCCCTGAGACGGTTTCGACTTCTCTTTACCTAAACAAAGAGACCGCAGATAAGAAACGGCAAGTCAAAAACACCGAGCCCAACAGAAGGAACTCGAATAACCTCCACTATTGCCGGGCACTTCTATGACGTCATTATCGTCGTCATCTTTGAAAACGATTCTCTTGCCCATTGGTTTCTTAGGTTTCGTATAACCGTACTTCTCCATGTACTGCCCTAGTAAAACTACAATAGAACCGGTCTACGTGGACGAACCAATACAGGGAACATCTGAGATATCTTCAAATCGAGCACAACAAGTGCAAAAGAACCAGGACAACAGATGTCGAAAGCTTTTATTACTTGGTTTTTCATTGCGAGCAAACAAGTGTTCGTGCAGAACTCGTGAAAACATTTATAATTTAACTATGGAATTTACATTATTTACATTGTAACCAGACGAGAACTGTTCGTGGATTAAGACCCGAATCAGGAAGGAAGATTCCAACTATGATGACATGTTCGATGCGAAACCATTCCCTGGTGAAAGTAGCGTTGGCAAGGTCTGATTTCCAGATGTGTCCATGGACGAGGAAAACGTATCAACAGGAGACGATAGCCGCTTACCTGAAAGGATAAAGGATAAAGTCTTTGCCGCTTGATCATTCCCTTTCTGATAGGATGCGGCACGCATTCTACTTCCATTCAGAATCGTAGTGGGTTATGGAGCATGAAGTGGCCTGCGTGGGGGGGGGGATCAAAGGATGAGCAAGTTCTTGCCAAGTTGTTCTTATCCTTTCAGACGGATCTGGAGTCATTACCGTCCCATAGGGTGGGAGGCTTGGTT